AGAGAGAGAGAGAGAGAGAGAGAGAGAGAGAGAGAGAGAGAGAGAGAAGCAGTCGAAGAACATCAAGTACAACAATATGGTAAGTGCTTTCCGCACTTTTCCACCGAACGTTTAAAAATTTCAATGACGGGATTAACCATCTCCTAGCACCACAGCACTAGACGACATTCACAACCACAACACGAAATTGTACACATGGCGAGTGATCCGCCCCGAGGGGTCACCCTGACCGGGAACGACCAATGACAACCTGCCGCGTCCACGACAATCTGCCTACCAACACGACTAAAAGGGGAAGCCTTCTACTGACTCGCCGACGACATCCCAGGAGGCCACAAATGCACAGCACACAGCCTAGCAACTCTACCGCTCACGAATAGCCTTCGCGATTTCCAACAACGTGTGGCACATGAGTTTGCTGACTTCGTTCAACGCAGCATAGTGCTTCCTCTGTACTTCTTTTTCAGTTTCCAGCGCCTCGCACTGCCAGACCTGGATGGAGCATTGGCGCTTGCTCGCACTCTCCATCGTCGACGCCATTAGCACCCCGTGCTTCTCATGCATTCCGTAAGCGCGTCGAAAGTCTGCTGCCTCGTGCTCTTCCTCTTCCCAAAACCAGCGGGGGTACCCCGTCTGGGAAGAACCTCGTGTCAACCCCTCGTTGTCGTCTTCTCGCCCCTCACCTCTATCCACATCAGCCACCGATTCAGGATCCGCGTTCGACGTCGATGGCAGACGCACACCGCCAGAAGCACCAGTGTCTGCCACGTTCTTCGGGTTGATGGTATGGTTCATCTCGGTCGACCTCTCTATCTCGTCGTAAACAGCACGATCCATAGTGAAATTGAAGCCCTTGCTCGCCCTCTCCTTCGTCGACAACTGGAAGAAGTCAGCCCCCCGGACGACGATTGAAAATGATAGACTTTCTTGAACGTTGCATCAGATTGTCCCACTTCTTCTCACATTTCTCGGCATCCCTATCCACGCCCACGTTCTTCAATCTTTGAGCGACATCTTGCCATTTCCATTCCCGCAGTTTCATTCGGGCGTATGTGTGCCCCATCCCCTACATATGCGCATCTTCGTCACGTTTAGCCCTTATGAGGGCTATAATGTGTTCGACGGACCTGAAGTTGTGCTTCTCCTCCGCATCACCGTCGTCGTCGCCAGCGCTCCCCTTCCTCTGGCCTTTCTTCGCCCAAGCACGACCATTGTGGCTGGAAGGCTTCGATTTCCCGCCCTTACCCACCATGTCGCTCTGCATGGCCAATGACACATAACCGCCCCCCCCTTCCCCGCCTTCTCCGTCGTTGTCGTCTTCGTCGCCGTCGTCTGCTTCCGTAGGTGGATCGTCCGTTTCTTTCTCCCGATCACCCACGCGAAGACGCTCCACCCCCCGTCTAATGAATTCCTCTCGCTACGCCCGAAGCTCTCGTCGCTGTTCCGTCCACACCTCCCTCACATCCTGATCATCACCAACGTCAAAGAAGTCCGTCTTGGCATCAACGCTACCTCCACGGCGGCAGGCCACTTAGGACGCCGCAGACAGTGGAGACGGCGACTACATCCACTGGGGTCAACCCAGGGCGGCCCTGGACAGAGAGGGCGCCCGTGCTTGCTGCGTCGATGAGTTCGGGTTCACTCCCGTCATTTCGCGCGCCAACGCTCTCATCTTCGATGACTGCTCGACAACCGTCAATTGCCCGCCGTCGTCGTCGGGGTGGAGGTTCATGAGGACTGTGCACGATGGAGTTGATGACGGCCCGGTGGACAGACCGAACGACAGGTTGACGAGGCCATCTCCTTCGTCGCCGCCAAGGCCCGGCCGAAGGAGTTCAGTGAACGACTGCTTGTACACGCCGCCGCCCGTTCCGCAGAGCTCCGTACCTGCCCACTCCTACGTCGATCCGCTACCCAACGACACGGTGCGTGGCCGTCTCCCCTCCTCCTCCTCGTCTGATGAGCCGGGGAGGGATGGCAAGTGAGGTGGCAATGCCTCATACCCAACCCATTGGGACGCCCTCCAAACCGTCCACAGGCTTTCCCCGCTCCGCCTCCCGCCGACCTGCTCCCCTCCGGACCTTGGGATCGCCTGCCGTGCCTCCGTCCGGGTGTCCTTCATCGAAGACCTTCTTTTGCTTCGACGCCGCGGTACGTTCCCAAGGATACACACGTGGAAGACAACCAAGAGGAACAGCAACAGGACAACCAGAAGCAGCAGCGGCAGCTTGCGGAACACGTCAGCCATGAAACAGAAGACGATGACGACAGAAGACGGAAGACAACGTGGGCGCCAACTTAACAGCGAAGTACAGTGCTGTAAACGGCCGTTCCAACTTCTCCAAAAACGGAAGGTGTCGTCTTCGGTCACGAATGGCAGTGCATCATTGGGGGAGACAGTGCCGCCTGAAATATTCGTATCTGCCGACCGTTGGCCGAATTCCTGCGCCGTGCCAAGCACGACGACGCGAGACGACACCTTCTAGACGTCGGGGATCCCGGTAGGCCGCAAATGGTAACCGTTGGCGATGAATCCCGTGACGACGAACGTTGGCGACCCAACATGTCCGTGGAGACGCAGGCAGGACCACCGATGGACCAGACGGGTTCGAAAAATGTCGTCGAGGGACCTGCCGTCGACGCCCCGATTCTTCCGGAAGCTCGACCTCCAAGGGACCTCGGGAGGTCGCTTGGGGAAATCGCCAAAATGGCTGTAGCCCCGAGGAATCCCCGAGGAATCCCCGAGGAAATGTTTTCACATTTGTTTTTCCGAATCTTCCCCAAGGATGAGTGGAACGACGAATTCCTTGGGGAATTACGGGCCCCGAGGAGTGTCGAACGAGCCCCTTAGTCATCATCTATCTCTATTTCATGACCTCAATCATCCTCTATATCATCCTGAATCATCCTAGGTCATCCTAAATGATCCTCAATCATCCCAAATTATAATCAATGATCATCAATCATGAATGTATTTCCATTATAAGGGACGCTGGGCCCAGTTCCCAGCACGTGCTGCTCCCCACAAATAGATTGGAGCAATTAAAAAAAAAAGAGAAAACTATGGCGCGGTCAGGGTTAGAGTTTGAAAATACATTTCAAACTGCCCTTTTGGAGTCCAGTCCCCTCTGAAGTTTACACTGCAGGCCAAACTCCGCCGTCGCGTGGCTGTCGCAGGGCAGAGTTTATAACTGCAGTCTAGTCATCCACGTCGGAGGCCCAGGCCGTTTTCCAAAAAAGAAAAGAAGAAACAAGAAGGGAAAAAAAAGAATCGTGTATCTTTCCATTTCTACAGAAAGATTCACTCTCGGTTTCCACGATTGATCTCCAAATGTGCAAAACGAAAGTGAATCTTGGCTTAGAACATGGAAATATACAGCTCCATGATTTTTGTCTTCTTTGCAACGGGAATACAGGGGCCCAGCGGGGTAAACGGTCTGACAACAACGCAAAGGCCCTAGGGGAGACACGTGCTGACAACAACTCAGTTTCTTTTCTTTTTTTTTTCTCTTTTTTTTCCCTTCTCACCTATGCGTGCCATCCTTGGGGCCTCGTGGCAGTGCATCTTTCCATGTTCTAGTGGAAGATTCACTCTCCTTTTGCCTGGCTCCACTACTCTCGAAATGTGCAAAACGAGAGTGAATCTTCCTCTAGAACATGGAAAGATACAGCGCCATGCTTTGTGTCTTTTGTGCATGCCAAGAATAGTGGAGCAAGGTCCTCTGTTCTTTTCTTTTTTTTTTTTGGTTAAATGTAGGCCCCCTCGCGTGGCTGGCCACGGCCAGAATAAATAAATAGAATAATAATATCAAATACTCTCTATTCTAGCTTAAGTTATATAAAATATTTTGTTATATAAAATATTTTTCTATATTCTTATATTCTATTGAGCTATAGCTTCTAAAAATTCCTCGGCAACATCCGAGGTTAAAAAAAAAAAGAAAAAAAANAAAAAAAAAAAAAAAAAAAAAAAAAAAAAAAGAAAAAAAAAAAAGAAAGAGCATCTCGTGGTGTGGCCGGGCCAGTGTAGCGATGCCTTGGCCATGTCCGAGGGGAAAAAAAAGAAAAGAAAAAAAAAAGGAGGCCACATGCGGGACTGGACTGCAGTTGCAAACTCGGCCTCGCGACTTTTATGCATGTGAAGTGTTTCGACTGCAGTTGAAACTTGGGAGGGTACTGGACTCCAAAAAGGCAGTTTGAAATGTATTTACAAACTGCTTAAAAAAAAAAAAAAAAAGGCGACGGCCTTGAGATATTATTATTGAGCTGACAGGCCCCAAGCAATTCATTAGTAGTTGGTTTTACTTGTCAAGTTTCATCATCTGGATTCGAACACAGGTCTTTATTTCTACAGTTCATGGGTGTACCCACTGAGCTAGGCTCCCAGAAAAAAGAAAAAAGAAAAAAAAAAGACAACTAAGCGATCAAAGAAATGCAATACACTAAAATACGTCAGACTAGCCTAGAAAACAGCTAAAAAACGGACAGTGTGTTCTCAAATTTTTAACTGAATATGGCCACGGATACAACCAGGTTCAGTGAGAGCTAAAATTTTAAGACAACAATGACTTATACCAGGGAAAATCCTACCCTAAAATACAAGCAAAGAGTTGAGATCAAAATTAAGCCCGCAGAAGGAATAGAATTGGGTGAGAAAAGGAAAGGATCGCAAACGGAACATGAAGTAAATGCACATAGGATGTAGAACAGACAGACAGGTAGTTTCAATTAAGTTAAACCTCGCCATGGGGTTAATCGCTCGACTCGATGTGCAAACAAATGACCTGCTGAATTACCGAAACTAACCTAAACTATGCCTACATGCAAACGAGATGTGTAGAACTGAAGCCCTTGGACATGCCGAAGCGCTGCCACAGCAGCCGCACGCTCTCCCACTGCGTCCAGATGCGCCGCTCCATCTTCCAAGCTTCTCCTATTGACCCAGGCAGTCGAGATGGCGAATCATGAAAGTCCAGCGTACAGCCTTTGGATGGTGAGAAAGGAGACCCCCCTTTCCAGCAAAAGGCTCGAAGGGAGGACGGCTCCTCTGGTGTCGAGATCCTTTCAGGTATGAAGGTTGGTATGGAGGTCCGATGCGGAGCTGCCAGGATGCCTTGGAGTAAGAGTGCGAGGCACTCCCTACCCACTCAAGGGCCAGGCTACGCCAGGGCACTGCCGCCATAGCTCTCACACACCTATGGTGCCTGGCAGGGTAGGCGCCTCGTGGAAAGGATCAGCGTCTACATGCTCCGCCGTTGCGTCCTACTCAGCCGCCGCCGACGACCGGGCGCCACCACCGCCTCTATCGCCGCTTTGTTAGCGCAATTATTCGCGCGGCCCCCACGCGGCATGTTTTGAAACCCTAAAGGCAAAAAAAACCTTGCGCGGGCAAAGAAACCACACGCCAACCGGAAATGAGCTATTTTGGTCCAAAAGTATCCATTGGGCCGGATTTTTTTTTTGTTTTTTACTTGTTTTCCCCTCCAACACCACGGCTGACCCCTGTAAATATGACACCCAGTCTGACACCACGGCCGTCGGTACTTCCATTGCCATTTTGAACTGGGCGCAGTTTTTTTGCCGACGCATGTTTGTTTTGGCCATTGGACACTCAAAAAGGACATGAGCGTAACTTCCATTGCCATTTTGAAGTGGGCGCTGTTTGTTTGCCGACGCATGTTTTTTTTTTGCCCATTGGACACTCAAAAGAGACATGACGGTACTTACCTCTGAAGTTCTTTTTCAAAAGAGAGAAAAAGACCACCGTCCTCCGTCCTTCTCCTTTCTCTTGAAAAAATAGCCAGACGCAGCTATGTCACAGCAGGGTCCAAGCCAATGGTAGGTACAAGGCTCTTAATGGGAAAAACAAAAAAAAAAGGCGCTCTTGTTCAGAAGAACAGTTGAGTTCTCCCATTGAAAAATGTTCAGAGATTAATCACCCTACGAAAAAGGAATCTGGATTGGTTGTTTTTTAATCATTTATTTTCTGGAGACCAGGAGGGAGATCCCACTAGCCATGTATTTGGAGTAGTGTAGAGGGCGTGTGACCTGCCTCTGCCGTCGATGGGAATGGGGATCGGTGGTCGATGGGAATGGGGATCGGTGGTTTTGTTTTTCCTGTATTTTAGCTGTCGAAAATTAATGTTTTTTTGGAGCATCCCATTGGGAGGTCTTTCTTTTGTTTTGCTTGCCGTGTTCCTCTTGGGGTCCCGAACGTGAGTGAAAATCAGACCCATTTTTTTTGTGTTGCTTTTCACTCATCTTTCACTCACCTTTGGGTCGTGGCCCATGCATGGAAGAGAGGCTGAAAACGAAATATTTCGGTGTTTTGCATCATGAGGGAATGTCAGTCCGTGTCAGACCCTCGTCCAAGTTGTCTGTAGTCCCCACAAATGTTTCACATGGGCAATGCTGTTGTCCTCTTCCTTTGACATGCATGTGCCCCCTTATTTTTTGAGAGGAGGTGTTTGGGAGGGTTCGATCCCCTCACCTACAGCAAATGGTGTATGGAGTTACTCTTGCCTTTGTTTTTTTAGGCTATTTTTCCCTATTTCATGCTGCCACCCACCTGTCCCCCACACGTCCCCCACCCGTCACACTAATCCACATACCTGGCTAGTGGGGTCTCCCTCCAGGGTTACCTGACTGAACGTTCGGGGCCCCCCGGGCTGGCCCCCCAAAGTTCGGGCGTTCGGGGTCCCGTTCGCGGGCCGTACACCTCCAGGTTCGGCCCCGCCAAAACATGTTTCGGGGCCTAAAAGTAAGTTTTTGTTTCTGAATTTTTTTTTTGTGAGTGCTCTATGATATAACATACACGCCTATAAATTTTGAAGCCATTCTGCTAAGCCAAAAAAACATTAAAAATTGTCAAAGATGGGGGTGTCAAAACGTGCTCGCCCACTCACTATTTTGTTTTTTTCACTTTTAACTTTTTGTTTTTACTTTAGTTCGGGGCCTTAAAAAATTTATTATTTTGTGAAAACTTTTTAATGAGTTATGGATTATGTAAAATACATATCTGTAAATTTTCAGGGCATTTGTCAATGCCAAAAAGTAATTAAAAATCGGCAAAGATGGTGGTGTTGAAAAGGTGCTGGCACACTCACTCATTTTAATTCTCTTTTTATATTTTCTTATCTTTATCATAGTGTTTATTTTCTGTACTTGATTTTTAATTGACATTTGGTAAAGAATTTGGATGCAGTGCCCAGGCAAATGTTGTTTAGTTTATTTTTCTCCATAAAATATTGTTTTTTCAGAAGTTTTTGAATTTTTTTTTTTTTTTTTTTTTTTTTTTTTGCATTTGGCCCGAACGG